TTCATGGTGTCGCCGACTCGAGAGGTCCCGGGTTCAAATCCCGATGGGGGCAGATGTTTGTGTGATGAATACGAGCATTTGTACTCCAGTCTTGGATATTGTATGTATATCTATAAAAATACTAGCTGACCCAGCGAACTTCGTACCGCCATAAAAAAATAGGGGTTGGTGGTAGAAGGGTGAAAATTTAGGGATGTATGTATTTTTGTATGATGTATCATAAAAAAATTTAAAAAAAATATCTAAAATTAAAAAAAAAATTAGGGGTGGATTACCCTTAACATTTAGGGGGATGAAAAATAGATTTTGTCCGATTCTCAGACCTACCCAATATGCACACAAAATGTCATGAGAATCGGTAAAGCCCTTTCGGAGGAGTTTAACCACAAACACCGCGACACGAGAATTTTATATATTAGATATACTTATTTATGTACAGTATATTTATTATATCCGTTACCCTAGTATCCTATAACACAAGCCTTATAGTGCTTACTTTGGAGCTAGGCTAATTGGTGTGTGTTGGAAATATTTATTATTTATTATAGTTTGGGGCCGACGTGTGTAATGTCGCTTGCCGGGGCACGAGCGGTCGGGTGCGATGACGACGCGGTAGCGGGCGGTGCGCGGCCTTGGCCGTGATCGCGCGCTCGATATAGCCCGGCCGCCGCCCTGCCTCCCCCATACCCTACCACCACCGCCCAAAGACTCCTCTCCTCACCCACACCAGCCACGCTTCCTCGTGATGCTCTCTGGATATTCCGGCCTAGAACTCACCTTCAGATGCGGCGTAGTTAACCTCTAGCCTTATTACGTCTTCCAAATAATAACTGAATGTTGGTACATTCAGTTATTATTTGTAATTTCTAAAGTGATTGATATTAATTGAATAACTTATCTGTACATCATGTCATACGATTGATACGCCTACAACTCGCAGCTGGTAATTTCCGAATAAAACGATAAAGCTAAACGCTCGTGTTTCACCGAAATACGAAATCATTTAATACAACTTAGTAAACATATGGCGTAGTTAGAACGAATCAGAATTAGACACCAAGGTCACCGTGGCGCGGAGTGATATCATTTTATATGGCGTGCTTGTCCCTGAACTCTGTTAGTCGGGAGTGACGCACGTGGTTTCAAATATCACCATGACCTTACTAGAAAATATAATTTGTGTCCTAAATTTATACTAATAGGAATACCTACTTTTCTAATATTTCTAATCGCATTAACGAAACTATCATACTGTCAGGGCCGTATTCAAGGCAAGGCTGGCGAGCCTGTGGCCCAGTTGTGTGGCCGAATACAAAATAACCAAATTTCGAGGAGTCACTAACTAGGGGGATGTACCTACATAGTAAGTTACAAGATTTTATAAAAAACCCCTTTTACTCCTTAGTTGCCCCAGGACCTCCACATCTCTAAATCAGGCGCTGCATATTGTTACTATGACTTGCTTTTTAACCGACTTCAAAAAGGAGGAGGTTTTCTGTTCGATTGTTTATATTATTTCTTTATGTATGTTCACCGATTTCTCCGTCAATTGTGGACGGATTTCCAAAATTCTTTTTATTCGAAAGTGTGCACTTCCGAAATGGTCTCATTGGAACCAAGTCAGGATCTAATGGTGGAATCCAGGGAAATCTTCAAATTTCAAAAGCACGCACAAAAAATAATATCTGGTACATGATACTTTTTAGTTCCATTTTCAATATTGAAGTCGGTTTCATTTTATTTAAAAATAAAAAGAATATTATAGTGACTCCAGTAATCTACCACATCTGATGTTGTTAGGTGGTTGTAAAGTCCAGAGACGAAGTTAAAGTTAGTTTCTTGCAATAAGGTTTATAAAAAAAAAATGGGTGCGTGTACTTATCTAGGCGCGTGAGAAGTTATCCTTCTTTGGCATCGTTTAAAATTAGTTTTTAATTGCATGCAAATAATTAATTACAATAAATGAATAAAAAGTCTGGAAAAGGACACAGTCAATAAAGTTCAGTTTTAATTTGAAAAAATAAATAAATAATCAAAATATTCAATTAAAATCGCTACTGAATATAATTTATTAGAACATATGTGATTTGCACTTGTATGAAACTCAAACACGTATTCCGAATATACAAACTAGAAACATGTGGATAAATATTATAAATATGAATACCTATAACTGTTACTTTATTACAAAAAATAAAGATGTGCTTTTTGGTTCTACTACACCAATGGTCAAGAGATGGCGCTGTAGTCTCCTGAATCGCGCTTTGGTTCCGTTGTTCCAGATTAATAAATACTTTTGATAGGCCTTCACAATGCAGTCGTTAGTCGTCGCTAAAGCGACTAACTTCATGCTGTTAATAATTTGTGTTACAGTGATGCGCGCGCATCTTAAAATTTCACTCTCATCATTTTTTCATAACGCGCCTAAAGAAGTATAACTTCAAAAACTTCTATCAACAAACGGCGTGTAGGTTTTGGACATTTTAGGTTCAGTGGTCACAAGGCCTGTCTGGTCTATAGGTAGTAATCGTCTACAAAATCAAAAAAAAACAGTGCACATTTATATGACTAAATATAAGTGTTGTGCACTGCTATTACCTAAGTGAATAAGAAGGCGAGTTACTTACTAAAGAACTATTAGCTCATCACTGTACATGGCGATTTGTATTCGAGCTGAGACTAATCTGAGTTCGTTTTTGCTTCCTTAATTGGAAGCGAAAGTAAAGAAATAATAATAATATATTACACATAGGTACTATTTTCATTTGCGTACAATACAACTTATTCACGCATACCTAACCTATGCGGTACTACCTACATAATTTTCCTAATAGTTTCAATTCTCAAAGCTCCTACTATAACATTTTAAGCAATAACACAATACCTATCCTTTTTTTGATAAATGTTCAGGAACTCATATTATTAAGCTTCGAAACGTGAGTTTCAATGTCAACATTAACAGTTCAATTAAAATATTGTAATCAATAAACAGCAACTAAGTGCATATCTCTACGGTACGGTACTTGGGTGAAGAGCCCCAATATTCGGTAATATAATGTAAAAATGGTATCAATTGATTGATGATTCTCTACATTTAAAATTAAATCATTCTCTTTACAGAATGAAAAGGAGAGACTAGTGTTAAATTTAGTTTTAACTTTAGAGAATGGTGCTAGAATCAATCATGACGATTTTAAGGACACATTTGACGAACTCCTACATGCAGATATTCTTAACAATAAGAATGTGTTGGCTTACACTAATAACAAGGGGGAAAATTACTTAGATAACTTAGAGACAAATAACTTTCTGGTTGTAATTGGCTACTACATACAGGCACTCTATCAGATCAGATGAAAATAATATACAAAAATGGTATTTCATCCAGTTCTGATTTTTTCACTTTGTACCATTTTTTTAAGGCATCCGCCCATTATCCGGCCTAGTACCTATTACCCTTAGCTGCTGCTCCACCTTAACTGCTGCTTTATTTTGAGGCCTCACGTCATAGGTTGTGGTTATAAAAATGTCAACTTGTCAAACTACACTCGGCGTCAAAAAAATCGCATAAACTTAAAAAAACATTTCATTTCATTAAAAAATAGCTTGGTACCACAAATGTGACTGAAAAATATACAAATTTTGCTCCTCAAAAGGGCCACTAGTTGCGCGGTAATTTTAGTGGGTATAAAAGGGTTTATACAGGTTCAATGGGGGTTTTTCGCTTTCCAACCGTTGAAAGGGACACACAAGATCTTTCACATAAAAAAAGCACCTTAAAGATGGATACCACTGCTGATGAAGCCACTCAAGTTATTGAACTACTGCAATCAGGAATGCGGCAGTATGATGTCGATCAGCAACTGAACTCGAGACGCGATTTGGTTCAAAGAGTATACCAGCGGTTCCTGGAGACCGGTGGCCATGTCCGAAGGTGTCTGGTAGACGTCGCTACACCTCGGAGAGAGACGACCAATTCATCATATCGAAGTCTCTAAGAAATCGGTTCTCTAAAGCAGTTGAGTTGCAACAGCAGCTCCAGGCAGCTCGCAGAACAACCGTGACCGTTTCTACGGTTAGACGAAGACTGAGGAAGAAGATAGCGGCTCATAGAGCTGCTGCTAGGGTCCAAAATTGACAGCAGAGCATCGGCGAGCCTGCTTGCGACAGTTTGTCGACCGTAAAACCGGCCTTGTAAGCGTCTCCCAGACGGGAGGTGCTGCGAGCAAGGGTCGCTGACTGTTCACCGGTACATCACAGAGATCCTGAAAGAGCATGTGGTCCCCTATGCCGGTTTTGTTGACGAGGGATTCACATTAATGACCATTTGAAACGCAAAGTTCGGTCTCGTGATCCCGCTCCCACGACTCTCCAGGAGCTCGAAAAGGCCGTTATTGAGAAATGGGCCAGTATCCCTCAAGAGGAGCTTCTAAAATTGATAAGATCAATGAGGGAGCGTATGGAAGCCGTCAACCGGGCAAGGAGAAACTAGGTTTTAGGTTAGTTTTAAGAACCTTTTTGTATTTTTTTTTTTGTCTATTTTATCTGTTCTTTTATTAAGTTTTCTGTCTGTTGTCTAATCTGTTTTTCAGATCTAAAGATTTTTGTTGTTTTGTAAACTTTATTGTTTTTTGGACTATTCCAAAAAAAATACAAAATAAGTTAATTGTTTTTTTTTAACTTTATTTAATGGACCTTGAAATGACACCAATATTGGTGGGGGTAAATGCGTATGTTAAGGTTATAATAACGCTTGAAAGTTATTTTAGCTGAGGTGCGATTTTTTTGACGCCAATTGTAGTAAAAAGATTGAAAAAACACCTTACTCATTCTGGCCAGCTAGCACCACCGCAGGATTTCGGCAATAGGTGTTTTGAACTGGAACTGCTTGCATACATTATTTTGTGATGGGGAATTTATAGATTAAATTTGGATTTCTTATTTCATGGAATCAAAAAACTATGTAACCTCGAAATATTTATTACAATCGACTGTAACATGGGGAAATAAAAAAAAACTTTAGCTAATCAAGGAATCATAATTTTTAAAATACATTTAGGCCAACAAGTGTATTTATTACATTATTTTCAATATAAATATATACTCATTTATACACATTTATTTAGCTTTAGATCCTTTCTTTTTACTGACTTTTGGTGTTTTGCCAGGTTTACTTTTATTAAACTTTGCTTTCTTGCCGCGCCCTTTGGTTTTCTCCTTGGCCTTCTGTGCACGCATATCCTTTTTCATGCGAGGGTCAACCACCTTGTATTGTCCCTTAACACCGCTTGGTCTCTTAATACGCTTTCCCGTGCTGTGTTTTTTGGCAACAACATAAGTAACTTTCTTCTTGCCATCACTCTGAGCCTTTTTGTACAATTGTCTCACTTGCTGAGCTTTTTCTCGTTCAGACATATCTGCGTTTTCCATTACTGATTCGACCTTCTTTTTAGCACGCTCCATTTTCTTAATCATGCGCTTCTTCTTCCTAGCCTTAGCTTCAATGACTTTCTTGATCGGTCTCACGTTAATGTCTTGAAGCCTCTTTTCATACTCTTCTGTATATTTCTGGAAAAATAATATAACAAAATGATAATATAGTTCCATAGAAACAAATTTTTACGGTCAAAGCAGAAACCGAATTTTCACATTCAGTCTCAATTTGAGTTAAAACGGTAACTTCGTTATTTTCATGAGGCGTAACAATTTACCCAGCCTTACAGGCGGAGCTCAGTCGTAAGGATAGTTCATATGGCAGAAATATACACCTCTCTAGCCATTTTCACTTTAGCAGCCTAAAGCCTAATAATCTTTGCCTCGTGGAGTAGTGGAGAGATGTTTTCTTACGCACCGACAGGAACACAAAGCCATCAATGTATTAATAGTATAGTCTTAAATTTACTAGTCCTTGAAATTTCGAGCTGATGCTGCCTAAATGTATTTTCAGTATTAGCTGCGGTTTCAAATTATAGACCTGCTGTTGCAATATTATCTTATGTCCTCTATCTAATTAGTATTGATATACACACTGACTTCTTTTAATAATTACAGTGATAAGTTGTTGATAAATATAAATATTAGGAATTAAACATACTTCTGGTATGGCAACTGGTCTCTTCATGTGTTTCTTCTCATCTTCCACAAACCAATCAGGCAAGTTCTTATCGTTGAACGCATATCGATTCCAACCATCGTCAATCAGATCCCGTTTAAACTTTTTGGATGTAGCTATCATAGTCCCAAGAGCCAAGGTTTCGGCATCCATTTTAAGGGATTTTTTCAACCTTTTTAAATCTGAAACATAATTATTATTATTTTTATTATTAACATCTAATTTGTGCAGAAAAAAAAATTAAAAAACCATTTTCATATGAATTACCAACCTAGATCTTGAGAGACAACTTCAAAATCATCTTTCTTTTCACTTTTAGCACCGACTTTCTGTATACCTGGTGCAACTGTGTCCTCCACATCATAGTCACTATCTGAAGAGTTATCATCTGAGCTCTCTATATCAGTTAATTTTCTTTTTGAACCAAGTTGTGTTTGCTTTTGTTCTGATTTCTCTATTTCTTCACTGACCTTTTTTCCTGAAATAATAAATAATTATAATTATTTGTTTACGCTAACAAAACATAATCTTGTTTTGATATTTTTGGTGTTTACCTTTTTCTTTAAAACTTTTAGCAATTTTGTCCAAATCCACCCCTTCATCATCCTCTTCATCAATATTTTTGAAACAATCTTTCTGGAACCACAGTTCTGCTTTCATAGACCTCCTAGACACTGGATCAGTATTGTCGAGGTCCGTTAACAAGGGATTGTTTTTGGGTATAGATGTAATTTTATCTTTCTTACTGTTTTTCATTGTGTTTCTTTTGGTAAGTTTATCAATTTTTTTGCTTTCATTTTCAGAATCTGAAAATGCTGTAACAAAAAATATTTTTAATATTTAATAACCAAAATTGAATTTAATATTATGTCCCTTATGTATGGATAATGAATTATGTTGTAAGGATTGAAAATATCATAATATTTATACAAATATAAATTCCTGTTTATACCTTTTCTAGTAAGCTATGTACCAATGCAAATAATTATTTAAAAAAAAGTTACAGATATTATATAATAAATATAACAAAATTTATTATACAATCGGTAACATCTTTTTTATATGCATAATATAGATTTTATATGATCTTACTAAATATATTTTCATACCCAAAGAATCTTTTTCCTTTTCATCATCTGAGTCAGATTCCATTTCCAGGTCACTATCAGAATCCTTATAATAAAGGCACGAAGAGTCCAATTTAGAAGCCTCCACATCATACTTAACATATTTCTGTTTTATTTTGAGTTCATCATCCGACTCATTATCACTTGCATCAACAACCATGTCAGGTGGTTGATCAATCAAACGAGACAATTCCTGTTAATTAATATTTAAAATTTTAATATTCTATTCATTTTAAACTTTACACATAACATAATAATAAAAAGCTTTCTTCATCTCCTTCCATTTATGTTTATAGTTACCTGAGCACTTTTTATAGAAGACAATTGAAACATGTCATTGCTTTCCATTATAGGACCACCATCACCTTTCAAGACCATCTTTAGATTCATTTTCTCAGCCAATTTTTGTCTTTGTTTGTTCAATTGTTTTCTTTTGCGTTTAGTTAGACGCCGCTCTTCATCCTATAAAATGATTAATACAAATACTTATATGATTATTTGGAGTTAACCAATCTACTATACAGTATTATAGCCAAGAATTATTGAAAAATTACAATGAAATTAAAACAAATTTATTCAAATTATACCTGAAGCTCAGCAATTTTATCATCAACATCCTCTTCTTCATCTTCATTTTGCTCCTCAGTGGTTGATTGGACTTCTTTTTCATCACCAATTTTTTCTTGCTCTTTATTAAGATCCTATAAATTAAAAGTAAGTACTAAAATATTAGCTATGAAATAATAAATTATTCCCTTAAATATGTTTATGTGTATATATGTTTTCGCTCCCTGTTTATTAGAATAGCATTATTATTTCAGCTTATAAACAACCATTGCTGGACAATGCATTTCCCAAGACTTTCTTAAACGGTCACAGTCTTCCTCATTGAACGGCTACCATTCAAGATTACCAGGACACCCGTAAATCTTGTTGGAAGCCTGTCTACACTGCATTTGCCAGTACATAGTGATGATGATGATTCATGAAGACCCTCGAAGATAGCTCCAAAGTTTGACATTAAAGCAAGATCAATCTGTAATTCCTCATGAAACTAATGAACTACAAAAACTACTAAGCTGAGGACAGACAGACAGACATACCAAAGCAATGGGAGTGTCTAGATAACTACGGAACCCTCTATAGCAGGCCTGTAGTTGAAAATGTGCTGACAACTGCAATTATAGGAAATAGTTCTCGTTCGTCAACTTGTTTTTGTCATCTTAAGTTCATACAATTTGAACATGCTTTGCTTTGCAATGTTAAATAAATATTAAGTTTAAGTTAATAAAGAAAAACAAATCAATTTAAGGCTATGGTAGAAATTCCATGATTCTCAAACATAACAAATGTGTTAAAAGAATTTCATTCTAAGCAGCTATCATGAAAAACTTTGATATCAACAGTAAACATTCCCGCCACTCGATCTGTTTATACAGCAGCAAGCAACTATGGCAGTGCTAAGAATGTATCATCTGGGCTTGTGGATGGGAAACCAGGGACCTCACTCCAAAATTTTGGAAAGGGCGTTATAATACCAACCTCTTGTAACAACCCGCTGTGATAAAATCCTGACTACATTTGATAGGAAATATCAAATAGAACTACTAGAAACCAACGAGTACTGGTCGGACACAGATATACTACGCATATACACTGATGGATCCAAAATACCAGGATCCTGTACCTCTAATGGATCAAGGGACATAGCGGTCCTGTGGCTAATGACGCAGCTGACGAACTAGCAAGAAGGGGATCATCACAAAGAGTAGACGGAAGAGGAAGGCACTGAGCCACTTCTACTATTAATTACCCTTCAATTTAATTCGTACATGGGTGCGACAAGGAACCATACCGAGCCATTACACCTGTTGGGCAATCTGGTTATCGGCTACAGGATATTTTCCTAGCCTCAACCCCAGACTAACTAGAAAACTATTAAATCTTTACTAAAGTGATCTCCGAGTAATGCTGGGCACCATAACTATGCAAAGGATGTCTAGAAGCAGATGAAACGGCCGCTCATGTGATTCTGGAATGCATGAGTGGCAGAACACCAGGCATCAATCCTCGGGAAGCCGAAGACGTTCCTAAAAGCCTGTGAGAATCCCAGGAGACTACTGCACTTCTGGAAGGAGCTGGGTGGGCTGTGCTAGTGAGCCCAACATACCCTGCATGTACAATGGACCAAGTACGGAGTCTACATGCGGAAACGGGGGCCCAACAACAAGTAACAGCAAACATCAGATAAATTGCAGTTCATAAAAAGATCAATATAATATTCCTTTAAATGTCTAATACTTACCTTTGGGTGTTTCCATTCTTTCATGTGTTTAAACCAGCTCAACAATGCCTTTAAGTCTTTTCTGCCTAGAACTTTAATATCCTTACAACATAGTTTAATTTCTTCAGTAGTTTTAGGATGCTCTTCAACTGATTTATCATCAATAACTATCTGAAAATAGTAATAAATAAATAGAATGTGCATTTATGCCTTAATTATATGATGTTTAAAACCTTGTTAAAGCATTAGCATAATTAGTTTTTTCAAGCCACAAATCAAATACAATAATACTAATTGCATTTTAGAATTGGCATAATTGTATATTTGGGAACAGATGACATGGGTACTGATTCTGGCATGATTCTCTAAATCTGAAAATAATTTGACAACCATCTATCCTTGTCATTATCTTTATATATTAAAAAGGAGAGACTGATGTTAGATATAGTACAGACACCTTTATCACTTTATTGTAATAGAAAATAGAAAAATTGGAATTTTTTTTAGCCTAATCAGCAGCTTTACTAAATAACTACATGAAATTCATGTGGAATTTTACATTTCAAAATAATTATTACTGATTACAATGGTCTGCAATGAAATCCTCCTTTAAATAAAAATATGATAAATATGAATAGCTTAACATGCTGAATCTAGATTTGATTTCCTTTTTCTGCTATCACATATAACTTTTACAAAAAAAAATTAAATACCTTAAAATTCTGTATTTTTGTGAATCATTCTTGCTAATTTATTCAGTTTATATCATATTTTTCCACACAAAAATAAATTGGGTTGATAGAAAGAGAGAGAACGATATAGACTGATGGTGTTTTTACACTAATGCATACACTTCCGAAGTTGTCACTGTGACTCCGTTGCGCTCAGTTCGATTTAAAGTTGTAAAGTGATTGCTACTGATTTTAAACTAGTATTTTGGTAAATTTATATTATATTGATACATGTAACGAAAATTTATGTGTAATTACAACTATAGAGCAAAACAGAATCACGTCAGTAGAATATTATTTTAATTTTACAGCAAAGGAGATCCGCCAAATCCCATACAAAATTACCCCAGGCCCGGCGCCAAAATAAAGTAACTCAATTTTTAGAGTAAAAATAGCAAAATATTATATAGTTTCGGTATTGCTAAATTCACATGCTAACATAGTTTTTTTGCCAGTTGAATTTTAATAGGTGCTCTTTGTAAAAGTATATTTTTTAGAGAAACATCGTCATTTTTAGTTCATTAATCTTGTAATTAGTGATTATGGCATATAAGCATGTATGTACTGTACTGTAAATATCATTAGAATATAATACAAACAAAAAGCTAAAACTAAAACATTTGACTTGATTCTTCTATTTATTTATGGAAAGTATAAACTATTTTTTTTTTCTAAATAAAAATATAACTGCAAATGAAATATCTTTATATAATATGATTGATATACATGCTTATATGCCATTATTATTTATTACAATGTTAATGAACTAAAAAGGACTCTTTAAAAAATTTTTTTTTCCTAAAAGCGCCTATGAAAATTCAACAAACAAAAAAACCGAAATTATATAATATTATTGCTATTTATGCTCTAAAAACTGAGATACATTGCTTTACCGCCGGGCCTGGGTTCATTTTGGCGGATCTTCTTTAAGTTTGTTGTAGGTACAAAATGCCAAGGATTTGCAAAAACTGTCCTGATGTGTTTTCATCGCTCATGAAAGACACGAATTTTGAAATTAAGCTGACCAAAGCTGAAAAAAGGGCATGGATCACTTTCGGAGCAGTCTATCATAATTTTCTTGGAAACAAAAAAGTGAAAACTAGAAAGAAATCATGCAATCATGCAAGAACTTCTGCTTTCTTACAAAGCTTTGAAATGCAACACGTCACTTAAAATTCATTTTTTAGATTCTCACTAAGATTTTCTTTCCAAAAATCTTGAAGCGGTATCTGATAACCGTGGTGAAAGATTTCATCAGGATATATCACTCATTTAGAGGTGCTACAACAGAAAATGGTTGGAAGCAATTCTTGCCGATTTCTGTTGGTTGATTCATCATGAAACTTGAGTAGAAAAAATAAAAGAAAGAAAAATTCTAAGTAAAATGATAGAAACAACATGTAATTACAATGTCTTATGATTTTTAATATTTTTAGTGTGATTATATGTAATATTTTGTCCTAATTGTTAAAACAATTACTGATTTTTTGAACAAAAAACTATTTTCTTAAATATTCCCTCACAAAAAATATATATGTGATAAAATTTTTTAATACCCAGTTTCTGTTGAGAAATATCACATCTATAATAATCGTGCACAATAATAAGGAGTGCAAAAATTTTTTTTTACAGACCAGTGTAAGAACAGTATAAGAACTAGCTTAAGATCTTATAAATTAATATTTGGTACAAATAATATGTACTTATTAATTAACTCTGACATTATCGATGGATTTCGAATTCCACATTAAATTTGATGGCAATAAAATAAAGGTACATACCTCTGAACATCCCTGAAGAAGATCAATAGGATCATCTGCACTTAGAAATTGAGAGAACAGTACTTTATGATGTGTAGTGTAATCATTTTCTTTATAACCTTCAGCTTTTGCTTTTTTCTGTTTTTCAGGGTGCAGTATGTTGGTGTGCGATTTTTGTGCTAATTCTAAATCTTCAAATACATATTTAGGATCTAGAAACTTAGGGTCAATGGAATCAGGTGCTATGTAACCCTGACACACCACAAATATTTCTGAAGACTCGTTTCGGGAAGCTTGAGGTTTGGTAGCATGTACTTTCTTGAAAAATTGTTTTAAAACCCATAATAATGCATGATAATCTTTAGATCTGAAAACCTTCGTAACAAACCAGCCACCCTCTCTCAAAAAATTTGTTGAAAGCTTTAATGCACTCAATGTAAGACAAGCTTGTTGGTACGCGTCATGAAGCCAATTAAGGCCAACGTTAGGAGCTCCATCATGAAGGACTACATCAGCTTTCCATGTTTTGATTTCTTTTTTTATGGCTGTCTTACACTTCTCTGTGGTGATATCTTCAGTGAGTCCTATACAACCCGGGACCGGTTTTATTGGAAACAAATCAACGCCAATAACGATACTAGAAAGGGGCATGTTCTGGTGAGCCACCTGCATCCACCCACCAGGAGCAGCACATAGATCGATACATACTCGTGACTTTTGTAAAAATCCAAATTTTCTATTAAGTTGAATTAATTTAAATGCTGCTCTCGAACGATAGCCTACAAAGAACATGAAATGTTAAATCTGCATCAACTTGGCTAAAACATTAATATAAATAATACATGTATTAAAAAAAAAATTGTAATTATTACGAACAGGCACCCACCAGTTTCCTTTGCTAGTTGATAGTATTTGTCTTTTCGTTGTTTTCCTACTTTTGTTTTCTTTCCCATATTTAAAGAAATTTAAAAAGCATTACTTTTTAAAATATTTTTTATTACAAATTTTACAACACGTTGTGTTGACAACTAATCGATTTTAGGTTAAAATTAATTAGACAGAGTTTTTTTTAAGATTCGCTCTTTTCAGGGAAGGCAAAGGGAACAATACCCATACAGCCAAGTCTTAAGTTATTTTAATTTTCTTTTTTTATGTTAGAATGTTGGTGTGATTCATTCTAATGTTACTTGGCTGTGCCGATAAGCTTCTGTGAGGTAGTCATATTTTGACGACATTGCTGTCAATTCAAACCAAATAGGTAGAGTGAGCAAAAAAAGTTTCTATTTAATAAAACTTATTTACTAAGATTAAGTGAGAAAAACATCAGCTCTTCAATGACGCTCATCTCTGCATTACCGCCGGAGTAGTTATGAATAATCATGCAGGTCACATACGAACATGCATCCTATATGTAAACGAAAATTTTAAATCGTGTTTCTGAACGCAACAAAAATGTGTCATTTGGTTGACGATTTAGGTTATCAACCATCCATAACCAAAGCTTAATAAATGAAAAAAAAAATATCAATCAATATTAATTATCAATATTTGTTATTTTTTATTTAAAAATTTTTGGTTTATAATCTTAGAATAAGCTGAGTGCTAAAAAAGTGTTCCGAGTTTTTTTGCAAACCGTACTTTTCATGCGATATTTGACAGATGGAGGTCATTGGCGTTCCTATTCTTATTTGAATCGCATTATAGGTACGGAACGTTTTAAGTATCACTGTTATGAAAATTAAATAAACTGGCCCAGTGAGAAACACACAACCGAGGCCATTTGTCACCCATGTTCCATGGTCTCCGTGGCTCTATGAGGCAGGTGATCATAACTTTCTTAAAGAAAACTATTTGATATTTATTTATTAAATAAAAGAAACATACAAAATCCAAAAAAAATTCAATAATCTATATCTATAAAAAACGACAAAAACAAAAATAAGGGTATCCCCTTATGAAAAACAACACCGATACGCATCCTCAAGATCATAGCATCATATTTAGAAAACCACAGTTTCTGTGTAGCAGTTGAAGGCCAAAATTCATCATTTGGTGTAGTACGCGCGGGGGTACCACAGGGAAGCTGCCTCTCCCCGACCCTATACTCCGTCTATACGAATGACGCGCCGGCGCTAAACGGAACAAAACTTGCACTGTACGCGGACGATAACGCGTATATAGCTTCATCCATCCGTCCCCAACACGCAGCACTTAAACTCAAGCCGACATTGGAGGCCCTAATACCGTGGCATGACAAATGGAGGATGAGGATGAACATAGCAAAGACGCAGGCGATGGTAGTAGGCACACGTGTACGTAACCCGCCTCAAATAGAAATCCAGGGTGAGAAAGTCCCCTGGACAAACAAGTCAAAATACCTCGGAGTCACCATAGACTCAAGACTCACAATGCGCGCACACATGACCGAGGCAATAAATAAAATGAAAGCCGCCCGAGCTATGCTCCGCCCATTGCTACGGCTACGAGGGAACATACCTTTAAAAATAAAAGTCACCTTATATAAATTATATCTAAGGCCCTTTCTCACGTATGCCGCGCCGACATGGTACGCATTGTTTTCGAATGAAAACAGAAAAAAACTGCACGCGCAACAGAACACCACTCTGCGTACCATAACAAACGCTACGTGAGAAATACAATTATACAACGAGACCTTAAAATAGAAAGTCTAACCGATTTTATTTCCAGAATTACAACGAACCTGTTTAGAAGGGCGGACGACTCGGCGCACGCGCACTTGCGTGAATTCACGCTAGCCCACGAACGCCCTCAAGCGGATCGCCGAAGCGAAGCGCTCCCGAGGGAGCTCATACCAAAATGACGACGGCCCCCGCTCGCAAGACGATGAGCGGGCCCACAACAAGAAGCAAATTGACTATGACAGCAAGGGGGGGAAAAAAAATGAACCCCGACCGACTTGACTCCTTTTAAACCATAGATTACCTTTTTTTTTTTTTAACGGGGAGAATGCCTTTAAGCACCGTCCCCGCCCACTGGGCTAGTGAGCGGGGGTGTGTGGGACTCACCCGGCTAAAGAGATAGCCGGGAATACTCCACTAAACTCCCCGGGAACTTCGCCTCGCCACAATTGAGCGGGCCACGAGCATGCGCAGGGCGCTGGCTCGCGTAGGCCTGCTCGGCGGTAAACCATAGATTACCTAACCTAACCCAAGCACAGACAGACCCTATTTCTCTCCCCATCCAAGTCCACCGCCTGCTCGCTGGTCGCTCACTGGGCCTCACACATGGGTCTCACCCGGTGGGCTTGACCGCGCCGAGAGCGGTGGTGAAGAAGGGGAAAAATGGACACCAAGTCTTTTGGATTCGTTATGTAGATTCTTGAATAAAAGATTATTGGGGCGTTGTTAATATTTTTATTGCACACTCACATGTTAACAGCTTACAGCAATGGTGGATACCGGGGAAGAGAACAAGCGGCCCTCGACATAGACGTTAATAATTTATTTTAACCATAGACTACAACATGCCCTTTTTTCTTTTAAGACAAATGACAGTGACAGATGGCACTGACATTTATATGTTGGCGGATGACATTACAAACATAACCCTACTTTGCTTAACAAAGTTACGTTACAAACAATATAACAATTTTGGAATACATTGAAAACATTATTTACTTCTTAATTTATTACAAATTATGGGCATTAAACTTTACATAAAATACTTAATTATTGTGGTGTATGTCAACAATACAAATTTAAAATTTACTTAGTCAATACTAAATGAATTACATGTCAATGTTATATTATCAATTATACATATTTTATTATAGATTTAATCTTTGTTTTTTCTTTAATAATCTTCCCTATGAACTATATTTTCTTTCAGTATTTATAGCGTCGTTATTGTCATTAACAGGTAAGGGTGATGTTTCATTACTACTACAACTTGGACTAGATAAATCGCTTGGACTTTCAAGTAATTTTTCTATATTTTTACATTGAGAAGACATAGGACTTTCATTTTGATATTCCAGTATGGCAATGTTAATTTATCACAATGTTCCTTGCAATTTGGCAAGCCATTTTGATAATAATCTTTTAATTTTTTAGAGACTAAGTCTTGGTTAGTATGACACAAAATTTTCTGGATTTTTGTGGAGAAATAGCTAAGTTGGAATATTAATATTTGAATCTAAATCTTCTAAACTAATTAATTCTTGGTTGAATTTATTGTCTTTGACTGGGGCATGAGACAATGTATCGGATATGTACATTTCTGAGCCCTTTGTATAAGATACAATCAAGTGATAAGCCTGCAAAGTAATCATCATACGTTGTAATCTGGTTGGTACTTCAGCTAAAGGTTTCTTGAACAAGGTAACTAATGGTCGATGGTCTGTTTCAACATAAATGGGTTTTCCATATAAATATTGATGAAATTTCTTGCATCCAAATACCATTGCATAAAGTTCTTTTTCTATCTGTGCATAATTCATCTGACTTTTATTTAAGGACTTTGAGGCATAAGCTATAGGGTGTTTATCACGTAAAATAACTGCACCTACTGCATGCTGTAAAGCATCGACAGACAATCGTATTGGTTTATTTATGTTATAGTGGACTAAGACTGGTGATTGACATAATATTTGTTTTAATTTTCTAAATTGTTGTTCGTGTTGATCTAACCATTGCCATTTAATATGTTTTTTGAGCAATTCTCTCAGAAGAGAAGTTTCTTCTGCGAGGTTTGGCATGTAAGATCCTAAATAATTAATCATACCTAAAAATCTTTGAAGTTCCTTGACATTAGTTGGACTGGACATTTTAGAAACTGCTTCGACTTTAGACCGATCAGGTGATACACCTTCTTTGTTAAAAATATGACCAACATAGCAAATTTCACACATACCAAATTGACATTTTGACTTATTAAACTTTAGGTTGACTTCGGAAGCACGTTTAAATAAAGCTTCAAGTCTTTCATTATACTCCTGGACAATAGACCCTTGAACGAGTACATCATCGACAAAGATACTTATACCAGGCAAGTCTCCGAACAATTTATTCATGGTCCTATGGAAAATTTCACCAGATGAGTTAATACCATAAGGAAGTCTAAGAAATTTGTACCTACCATAAGGAGTGTTGAAAGTACAGAGGTCACTACTCTCTTCGTCTAAACATATAGTCCAATAACCTGAAGAAGCATCTAGTTTAGAAAAAATTGACGCGCCTGCTACTTTAGATCTAAGGTCGTCAAATGTTGGATATGGATAGTATGGTCGTTTTATGGCCTCATTTAAATTCCTAGGATCAAGACAAATTCTCAATTTACCATTCGGCTTTTCGACTAAAACAATTGAGTTTACCCATTTAGTAGGTTTTTCTACTTTTTCTATGACTTTTAGTTCCTCCATGTTTTTAAGTTCCTCTTTGAGACGTTTTTCCAAAGAATATAGTATTCTACGTATCGGACAGACCTTTGGTGGGACGCTACTATCAATGTCTAGATGTGCCCTGTATGGTAGACAACCAAGACCCTCGAATGTTTTAGCATATTTAGAAACAATTTGTTGTACTGACCTTTCTTGGATTCCAAATATTCTTTTTACAATACCCAGATTTTCGCATGAATTCCAGCCAATTATTGTTTTACAATCGCATTCAAAAACAACAAAGTACAATTTTGTGGTTATTCCATTTTCAAATACACAATTTAATATACATTTCCCTAAATTTGGCACTAATTCTCCTGAAAAAGAAAACAGTTTATTATTTGTCCTTGAAATATTAATTTTAGAGTGAGAACAAGTCATAATTTTGTCTAATGTTTTCTTACTTATGACATTTGTATCTGCTCCTGTATTGATTTTACATTTGAGCTTATAATTATTACAGTAAATATTAATTTGCCAATCATCTGTTTTACAATTAGTATTTTGAATAGAGTTGATTACAAAACGATCGGTTTCTGACTTTTCATATGATATACACACATCAAAAGTGTCTAGGGATCAAGCATTTTTATGCGGATTTCTTGAGATTGAGATGTGGCTTTGTAATAAATTTATGATTTTATAAATTTATATGGATCCTTTTTGGTGCATTTCATAATTGGACGTAGTTACGCGAAAACGTTCCAACCCACAAGTCACTCGAAAATGAGTTACCATAACCAGGGTACTATTTTTGCCATATTACATCATGTGCACACAAAGATGCTAGTATTTTTAAGTTAGTTTCATCAATAAAGTTTAACCCAAATGTTCCAACCCACCATTATGCCAAGGACGTGTACTCAAAATAAAGTAAAAACATTACATGCATACTGAAACATATTGTTAAAAACTCTTAATAGAATAACATATCGTTATAATGTTCCACTTGTCTTGGAACATTATACTAAATTCATAAAACGCACATTTAATGGTTTCTTAAATGATCCATGTGGGTTGGAACGTTTTTGCAAAATCTTTATACATTTTTTATTTCTGCAAAAATGTTCCATGTAATTTGAAACCTTTTAGATTAATCCATACTGTTTTTTTAAGCTGCGAACACTGTTCTAAATAAATTGAAACCTTTTATTATAATATATTATTTTCAAATTTTTTGCTATAAACAATCCACATATACTTGATCCATTTTTGCTTTTAAATATGTTCTAGAGAAAAAGATATTTTTTACCAAAATAAATAACTATGGTATATTTGGACGTAGTAACGCGAAAATGTTCCAACCCTCAGCAACCCCAATTTGCAATTTACACACTTTTTCCCTGTAATTATTTCAGGCAAATACTATTGGTTTAACTATGGAATGCCAAACTGATTATTGAATGATATGCATATTTTTTGTAAATACATAATACAAGGGGCATATAAATAGGTAAAACGAGTTTGAAATGTTTTTGCTAAATTAATTTTGTATGAACCTTGTTAAATAGCAATTATGCATAAACTTTCCAAAACGAATTTAAGTGTATTATTTTATAAAAATAAACCAAAAAGAAATATGTAAAATAATAAATAACAATGAGGAACATACAAAAACAACAAAAAAATATATTTGAAAATGTATTACAAAAAAATAGAACGTGATCTTTTGAGCTTAGAACCTATGCCAAAAATTTGTTGATATGGTTCCAAAAGTTATCAAAAACTTATATTATAAACATTCAATTTTCATCATCGTATTCTATGATCTCGAAGTCCGGAACTCCACCAAACCCATCAACATCATCAGTGCTTCTTCAGAACTTTGAAGCGTTCTATAAAATTGAAGGCAATCCTCGGGTATGTAGTGGTACATGGATTGTAAGTCCACTAATTTCGCTGGAGCAATCGGTTTGTCGTTAGGCCACAATAAGCAAAAATCAGATTCTTTTATGTATTGCAGTTCTCGTTTTATTCTTTTATCAATTTTCAACTCATTGAAATCGTCTTCCATCGTAGACCGCATAAAAATAGAAAACATTTTATCTTTATCCAACTTAATTTCTTTTGTATGTAGCCAACTAACTTTAGATGAGTCTGTAAACTTCTTCCTATTGATAATCTTCTTTTCCAGTTTAGTTGTACTAAAAAAATCAGTCTTTGTCATTTTGTAAACTTGAAGAGGTTTAACTTTTTTACTTAGTTCTACAATAGTGGTATCCATAGTGTATTTAATGATACTGGGCATTGTTATGTATTGGTAGAAGGAGAGGTAGAAGAGGTGCACAGGAAGTGGATTGCCTTCAATTTTATAGAACGCTTCAAAGTTCTGAAGAAGCACTGATGATGTTGATGGGTTTGGTGGAGTTCCGGACTTCGAGATCATAGAATACGATGATGAAAATTGAATGTTTATAATATAAGTTTTTGATAACTTTTGGAACCATATCAGCAAATTGGCATAGGTTCTAAGCTCAAAAGATCACGTTCTATTTTTTTTGTAATACATTTTCAATTTTTTTTTGTTGTTTTTGTATGTTCTTCATTGTTATTTATTATTTTACATATTTATTTTAGATATATTTATAAAATAATACACTTAAATTCGTTCTGGAACGTTTATGCATAATTGCTATTTAACAAGGTTCATACAAAATTAAATTTAGCGAAAACGTTTCAAACTCGTTTTACCTATTTATATGCCCCTTGTATTATGTATTTACAAAAAATATGCATATCATTCAATAACCAGTTTGGCATTCCACAGTAACACCAATAGTATTTGCCTGAAATAATTACAGGGAAAAAGTGTACCGCTAAAACACAAAATTGCGTTTATCTCAAAATGGGGTCGCTGTGGGTTGGAACGTTTTCGCGTAACTACGTCCAATTTGAATCAGGAACTGTGAATCAAATTCGAGTAAAAGATGAAAATCAGCTGTCAATATTTTCCCTATAAAAACATACAACGCATTGAAGACATTATTAGTGCTACTGTTTCCCTACTACTGATTAAAACCAACGTTATTATGGAGCGGCGACGTCATTTAAGCAGGGAAGAAATGCTCAGAGCCGTGGGAATGATAGAAGCTGGTTCCCGGCAACGTACTGTGGCTTTAGCTCTGAATACAAGTCAGAGTGTTATCAGTCGACTTTGGACACGATACCGAAGCACTGGTACCGTGGCTGAGCGCCATGGAGGACGGTATCGCTGCACCACACGGAGACAAGACCGATACATTCAAATCTTAACTCGAAGAGCTCCAACAATAACCGCCATGATGTTAGCCGTGAGGCTTCATCACTTTTCAGGGAACTTAATTAGCGACCAAACAGTCAGAAACCGCTTGCATGAAGTGAACCTTC